TATTTATTTATTTATTTATTTATTAAATTTGTTACCTAGCTAAATTGTCATTTATTACCATCAAATGCACCTCATTTTTTATCGGTCACAAAGAATCGAAATGTGGCTGGTTTGCAGTGTCATGCTATCAAAAATAAACATCGTAACCATTCAATAAATTAAGTCAACCGGGATATGAAAGATGATTGATATATAAACGGCCTTGCCAAAATTTAGGTCTGTGCGGTTTTTCATTCACTTATTATTCAGAAAAGTGTTTCACTCAAATTTACAGAACTTTGTATCGAGTTGCTATGTTTGTGCGCTTGGGAGGGACACCAACATGACCGCCATAAAGTAACATCTGAAACATCTGTCACTGAGTTTTGCCGTTGAAATGAAAAGTTATTTCTCTAGAGGTCCGACACATTAAAATTAATACTTCTTCAAGAGCAAGAAGTGTCTAGTTAGCAAAACTTGAGCAATAAGACTTTAGTCATCTTTTGACCTACTCAAGAGCCTTACTGGGCGCCATTTTAACGTCACGCAATGCATAAACGCGGAAATTCATATGTGCTCTATTACATAATAAGGAACCCTGTCGGGCTTAAATGTTGCAAAACATCAAGTTATTAGAGGGTCTTACATCTGAAGAAACCAACACTTTGGAAGGATTCAATTTGGTAATTTCTTATTTTGGAAAATGATGACATCACATGAAAACTGGCACTGTGTCGACCATTACCATATGAAATATATCAAACAACAACATACACGTACAAACAATGAAACAGAGATTGTTTGCACAGACCTTTTTGTCTTCACTCCAGTCTTCACTCCAGTGAAAAATAAAGTATAAATATACATAAAATCTGCATTGGGAGCTGTCTACCTCATGGAGGAGGGGGAAAATACTCAGCCATGCTTTATACAGGGGGCTCCCCTTAAAATTAACATACTTAACCTCATATATCACCATTTCTGACAAAAAAAAATAAATATAACCCATTTATATTTACCTGACAATGAACATGGTGCCCTTTTCTTTATTAAACACTTGGTCCTTAATAAATGCTAGGCCTCAAAGTGGGGAACATGAGGGTCAGAACCTCCCTCTTCCCGTACCCTGCTGTCCTGCCTCCCGTACCTTTATCTCAAGACTCTCACCCTTTGTCTGTCCTGCTCCCCTCCCCTGTAAATAAGGAGACTCAAAACACATCCTAGTCACTTAGCTGCACAATCTTTAGGCATGTCCTTTTCCTTTTTCTTCCTTTGTTTTCAGCCTTGCTCCTCTTACTCACGTCTTTTGACAGCTTAAGTGACAACATTTCATGACCTATCATGTAACGACCATCAAAGGGTTTCCAATTTTACCGGAAGTGAGCCACAGTTTTTTAGCCCAAGGACACATATTTTTGCTTGCTTGTTAGCTGAGAATTCTCAAACGACACTAAATGCAAGTCAAATAACATTTTAAGTTCTTGTTTTTGATTCAAGTATTTGAACGCTTAATAAATTAGCATGATTTTAAATTTCTCTCCTGATTCTGGCCCTCTTAGAACTCTCACTTCCCGCCCTTTCCTCTCCCGCCTCTGATTCCCCTGTCTCCCCACGTCATAGGCAGAGTCATGTATACTCCTGGCTCAAAAGTTGAATCATGGTATAATAATTAGCATTAAATATAATAACAAGATATACATGCACAGTGTGCCTGTCAAAAATGGTGAATAAAATCCCTTGTTTTATAACATTAACAGGCTTGAAAACTCTCTCTCAATTTGCAGCTGCAAATTTTGCTCCTTCTGCAGTGTAAAAATGTACAAAATAAGTGAAACACTTTTTTATAATCTGACAAAAGTATATACCGGTGTGACCTGAACACAACTTCAAGTGAGAGTTTACCAAAAATGGAAAATTCTCGTCCAACTTGAGAGTTTGTGAACATTATTTTGGAGTTGATTTTTATTTATTTTCCTTTCCAGGAGAAGGCTACAACAGGGAAACCATAGACTGTGATCCAACTGGACATGGAGAAGTGACTGCCATCAGACAAGCTTGTAAGAGTATTCAATCCTGTGATCTAAGTGGCTGTGAGATCTACACCAGCTGCGAGCCTTGTTCTATGTGTACATCAGCTATGTGGCTTTGTAGGTGAGTAGAAATAATTAGTATTTAGTAGTTATAGCTAGTTTGTAAGTTCCATTTTCTGTTATATTGAATACATGACTGTATAATTTAAATTTGTCTAGTACTCAAAAGTTTTAAACACAATGTTAGGACAGTGCATACTTTTGTACGTGCATAGATGTTCTGCCTATCACATGATCATGATGCATTGTTTTTAAAAAAAAAAAAAAAAACAATTTTTGAACCAAATTTTGGGGTTTGGGTAAAATGTTCTCTGCCACCTCTCAGTAAGCCAAATATTTGTGTCCCTAGAAACTGGTTTGCGTGTACCTGCACTTCACCATCTGTAGTTTAACAAATTGACGTCAGTTCAGTTTATGCATCTGTCCTCTTATTGATGATAAATTGCATCATAAATTGTGTGACGAGCCCTAAGAGCATCTGCATGGGAGGCTAGTAAACAGGTTGTGGTCATCATTTTTATATAATAGGTTACCATGGCAGCATAGTACTTGTTAAAAACACACTTGCCAATTTGTTGCTATGGTAACCTAATGTGGCACAAAGATTACCATTACTGGTTTACTTTAGGGCTGGGCGTTTGTGTGACACAAACGTTAGTAACATTACTTGATAAATAGTGCTTAAGTATTGATCTGTCAACATATAGCTGCTGGAAACTGTTGCCAACCACCTGAAATACGCAGTTTGTTTTGTAGGTTAGACCGTGTCTACTATGGTAACCGTCTCAATGACACAAAGCATATTTTGGACTTGGCGCCTCTTTTTCAACATGTTGCCACTCCTATTGATCAACGGTCTACTACAGTGGAGCAGATCAAGGGCAAGGAGGCCTATGACGTCATTACAAAGTGGGCCAATGATCCAAACCTGAATGAGTATTTGATAGCAAAGCTAAAATCAGAAACCAAGAGTTAACTAAGTGTAGTTGAAATCAGCAAGTCACGCAAGTCAAAATTCCCCATCACAGACAGTCTCGATCTTAGCTGACCACCCCCATAAAATGCTTCATTCTCTCGTCCCCCTTTCTCTCTTGTCAAAGCAAATCAGTCAATTGGTTTAAAAAGATCCTAGAGTAAGAGTGGGCATAAGCAATATTGGCAAATGAACAAATAAATGGTTCTTAGCAAGCCTTAATCATATCCACGCTGTCTTTTTGATTTTTCATAAAGCCATTATCAATCTACATGGAAGAGTCACGAGGGCTGAATTGGCTGATTTAGATTAATTATGACATAGTCACGAAGGGTATTAGACTCGGGAACAACTAAAAAATGGTTGCAGCTTATGAACAAAAACTGTTTTTTTTTGTTTTTTTTTTTCACTTTTCTAAAAGAACTGCGTCGGTAAACGTGAGAAATGAAGCATTTGATGGGGGATGTCCTTTGCGTGGTCAGGTCAAACTGGTTGAGCCTTGTAAGAAAATCTGCATGAACAAATATGAATAACAGATGTTGTGATTGACCATTTAGATATCTCCAACAAAGAAGATGTAGGGGTGGGGGGAGCATGGTGGGAGCATATAGATTTAAGTTACTAGTTTTGAGTGAAATAAACTGACAGTTTAATTTGTGGTTTCAAGGTGTGACATTTCCCAACCTGCTCTAGCGTGTGTGGAAAGCGTTCCCGTTTGAAAAGAATTTTGCACATTTTGGCCACACAGAAACTGGGGCAAAGGCGAAACATTGGATGATGGGGAGAGTGAGTGGACAAGAGGTTCCTTGTAGATTGATTCTAGCATAGTTAATAGAGGGGAATGGTTATGAAACTTGATAAAGTTCTTTGTTGCATGTTTTTGTTCTCTTTTTTGGCCTGGACCGTGTACAGAACACAATAGTTTTTTACTACTGACCGAGAAACGAACCAAAAGAAAGGTTTTGGTTACGTAACTCATCCATAGTGTATGAACGCACAACAAAAGATTGTGCAAGGTCGTGGACTTTCCAAGATCAATCTTCTCATCTTTGTTTGGTACTTTGATGTTTGCTGGGCTTCCTAACCATTCCCCTCTATAAATTAACTATGATTCGAGCTAGTATTGAGTTGTTATTGAGTTGTAGCAGAAGCATATCACCTCGGAAGTGATATGCTTCTGGTTATAGTTTTAGAGCGCGCTTTCTTTCAAGCTGTTTTCTAAGATTGCTGGTATTGACGTCGTTTTTTCGAAAAATCAAGCACTTAACATTTTTATTTAAGTTACTTCATAAAATATAATACTTGTTCTAACAATACTTCAATCTCTAAGAGTAAATCATACCAAACCAAAAGTTAAAAAGTACAAAAATTGAATAAAAATAATAAAAATTGGTCCTCCAGGAGACAATCAAGTGGTCGCCCAATGTTACTGATGAATGAATGAATGAATGACAACTTTATTTAAGTCTCCGTCTTAATAGCTGAGCACAAGTGCTCTACTAATTGGGGAGACTAAAATATAAAGCAAAATGTATTCACCTAAGATTTAGTAAAATTAAGAAAATATTAAAATATTAAAATTGAATCCAAAAAAAACAAAACTAATTTGTTGATAAATACTATCATGATATTATCACCTAATAGTTATTTAACAACTAACTAGATTAAGCTTATATGATTAGTGAAGTTAAGGTTTGAGTCTAGGATTACACCTAAGAGTTCAAGCTTGTCTGCTGTTTTTATCTCTTCATTGTTCACACAGAACTGATGTTCACACAGACTGATGCCGTTTAACAAATAACTATTCTTATATCTTGATCTGATTCTATTTGCAACCTGATTGATTACCTCTGTGATTATGCTTGTTTCAATTCATGAAGACAATTATTGTTGTGAAGTTGCTTCAAAGTAACTTTTTTTCTGAACACAACTTTCGGTAAGTAAATTGTCTCCTTACCGACGAAGAATTAACCTTTTCTGTGCAAATCAAAGTATTTACATGTAATTATCATGTCCTAGTCAAGCATTCTAGAGGTGTTATGCAAAAAAACTACGAGAGAAAATTGAAATCTCAACTTGCGGAAAAACGTAAAACCGTAAAACGTTTCATTAAAAATGTCTGAATACTTAATGCTCTAAATTGTTACTGAAACTCAGAATTCAGTAAAAAAAAATTAACACCATCATTTGAAAAGATTAATATTGAAGTAGAGAAAAGATTACCGCCGAGGGTATTTTTTTTCTCAAAACAGCTTTTGAGAAAAGCTAATTAAAACAAATTTTCGTATCCCCTTCTTTATTTTTATCTTAAAAAAATTACGTTGTAAAACTATGATACATTCCATCACAGTAAATNCCCATTTATATTTACCTGACAATGAACATGGTGCCCTTTTCTTTATTAAACACTTGGTCCTTAATAAATGATATGCTGGAATTTTCATCTCCGTAAAACGTTTCATTAAAAATGTGTGAATACTTAATGCTCTAAATTGTTACTGAAACTCAGAATTCAGTAAAAAAAATTAACACCATCTTTTGAAAAGATTAATATTGAAGTAGAGAAAACATTACCGCCGAGGGTAGTTTTTTTCTCAAAACAGCTTTTGAGAAAAGCTAATTAAAACAAATTTTCGTATCCCCTTCTTTATTTTTATCTTAAAAAAATTACATTGTAAAACTATGATACATTCCATCACAGTAAATCTTAAATCTAAATAGGTTTTTCTTAAAGCGGGGAAATACGATTGCGTGGTTAAATGAAATGTAGACCTAACTGATGTCTAAACTTTTTTTTTTTCCACAGTAAAAAATATAAAAAAAAATTATGATAACTACGATATTTACGATGAATTTCAAATCAATGAAATTCAAATCCGTTTACGTGAATCAACTTCCAAGTTGATGATACACTTGCACTATAAGAAAAAGTAAAATAACGTATGAAGCAAAGCAGAACCACTGTAACATGCAAACTAACGTTTCAAAGAAAACATAAAACAATGTAAGGCTTACAGGAGTTATTGTCACATGATCTATAAAAGCAGTCGGACTTAAAAGTAACAGTCCATTACAATGAACTTTCACAACGATCATTGTATTACAAAACTCCAGCGCACACATGATTAAAAGCTTTTAAAAAGCGAACTGAAAAGAAATTTCTTAGTTTTCAATGTCATCGAAATAAATAAGAGCTTTATTGTGTGGTCAGAAGGACAAACCAAGCTAACTCACCATCGTGGATGGTTTTTTCTTTCATGGCTCAAACGTCACTAGAGCTATCAAAAGATGATGCTTCTTCCCTTGAGGCTGCCATCCTACCAAGACAAAACAATAAATAGACTCCTTTGTAAATGAGTGGGTTTTTCAGTTTCCAGAACAGTTTTTTCCCCTTTTGATTCACTTTTAATTTAAATTTATTTAGCATTGAAGAATGACCAGAGGCCGGGATAAGGTAAGGTAGTAGCAAGACTACCAGTTTTTGAGATTGCTCAAATCAAAATATAAACTCATACAACTTGCTATTACTTCGAAATGAAACAAAAGAAAAATTTTATCTTAAAGAACGTCTTCCTCTACGCCTCACTTAAATCACACAACATAAAAAAATAACGGTAAGTAGAACAGTTGGCTCTTTCAGCTTGCCGTAATTTTTTAAAATAATTTTGGGTAAGATTATATTCCCACCTGATTTTGCTAAAATTCATCTTGACGTCATCGCCAACAAGTACGAACGGAGCCCAGCACTTCAGGTCTTTGAAGTCATCGGATTTTCGCAGATTCTTCATAGCTTGGTGGAGACACTTGCTGACACATTGGCCTTCAGACAGTTGTTTGTAGAAGTGTTTCATGAACTCTTTAGTTGCTTTGGCATCGACCGCCCACAATGTCACGACAACGGAACGAGCACCAGCTCCTAAAAAGGCACGTGCAATACCAACCACACCTTCAGCCTTAACCTCTCCTCGGCCGGAATGGCAACAGCTCCAGACGACCAGCCGTGCTCGCAATTTTGAATTCAAAATGTCTTTCATCGTCAAAAGAAAGCTTTCTGACAAGGATGTCAGATTAGGGGATAAAATTATTTCACCTGTTCCGGGAACACCATGTGCTGCAATGTGCACTAAAGCAACCGGGTCTATCCGGCTTAACAGTTCGGGCTTTGTTGCTCTTCTTCCCGTTAGAGGCTCAGTATTGAGAATCTTGC